ATCATATAGAGGGGCAAATACTGATTCCAGTACCTAGTAATATCAAAGATTAGAAGCCGAATTTCCAATGTGAGGAAGAAATATGGCGCCCAGGCCAGAAAATGTAATAATGAAAAACTTAAGGAACCAAAAGTCGAAGCTAGATATGTTGAAATAATTAATGAGCACTTATCAAGGCTAACACAGTGAGAATGTGAATAACATTTGGAGAGTACTTAACGACACTGGAACACTGATGGAAGATGTAGTACTGGGAAAAGTAGATACAGCTGAATATAATCTTTGGTGTGATGCAGAACGTGAGCGTGTGACTGCAGTCAAAAGTGAAGCGTGCAGAAAGGAACCAATACTCGGAAGGTAGTAGAAGAACATCGAGGAGCGAGAAGGGAAGAGTAGATGGTGCACAAAAAGAGGAAGGGGGAACATAATTAACGCGAACTCAAGAAACTGCAAGACCTTCGAAGTATAAATGAAAGTAGGGCCGTTTATCCAATGTTAAATAAGAGTCGTAAAGACTTTCAGTCTAGGGCAACGTTGTGTGAGACAAGAGGAATGAGGCGGTACTAGAAAGATGTCTGGAACATTTTGATGAGCTGCTGAACACGAATGTGGGTGATCACTTGGAAGACGTTGACAAAATAGGGATCTTAGAAGACCTAGAACCGGCTGACCAAGAGCCAACAGTTGCTGAAATGGAAGCAGCCATCAGAAAATAAAGAAAAATAACAATGCTTCATGAATGGATCCCATTCAAGCTGAAATGATAAAAAATGCAGGTACATAACACTTCAGACATCTAGCTCACGCTGGTTCCTCGCCCACGGATTTTTCTACCCGGAACATGGAGGCGATACGTTCCTCCGAAACGTCGGTTCACACAAGATCTTCACGGCGCCACATCCCAGAAGACGGCATTCCTCATAGTCACTGCTCTGAAAATCTTATTATTATTTATTATTATTGGAGGGGGTGGGTTTCCCCATGCACCGCGACCAGTGGTCTAGTGTACGTCCCCCTGTGATATTCTACCAGTCTCTATACCCTACCGATACTGGAGCGTGCCATCAGTCCCGACTCAGCCAGCGAGTTCGGCCTCTACTGGCTCAGCGGTATCTAGATGCTTCCCCTATCTACCAGAGGCGTTAAAGACTATTGTTGGGCGGGAAATGTCCTTTATAATTTGGCTAAGAGGCCTCCTTGAGGCATGAGGTTCTTTTACGTGCCTTAAAGTTACGACACGGGACCCACGGCTTAAAGTCCCTCCCGGAGGACTTGTTCCCTGAATTTTTCCGCCCTTAAAAATTCCACGACCTCCGCCGGGTTTGAACCCGCGTACCTTGAGTCATGAGGTGGGAACGTTACCCCTAGACTACGGAGGCCGCTTCTGAAAATCTTAAATCATAAACAGTATTATTGGTGATTACCAATGTACGTTTCATCGAAGAAGATCCACACGTGTACAGGTTTTCAATATTCGCCAGCTACTTGAAAAAGTACAGTGAGTTTGGAATTGAAATGCACCACCTCTTCATAGATTTCAAAGCAGCATTATGACATGTAGACATATGTAGTTTATTCGCTACAATGGAGGAATTTCAGATCCCACATAAGCTAATCGCACTAGTTAAACTACCATGAAAAACACACGGTGTCAGGTCAAAATTCAGAATACAGGTATGCTCTCTGGGCCAATAGATATAAAGACGTTCTTGGACAAGGGGATATCCTAGCCTGTCTGTTGTTCAACATACCACTTGATAGGTTGATAAGAGTTGCTGGTATTTCTCGTAATATACGGGGAACTATTTTTTAGAAATCGGTTTAGAACCTGGCATTTGCCGATGATACTGACATCACAGGATGGACACAAGGACAGATAAATGCAGTCTTTTATCACTTTGGAGAAATCTGCTAAAAAGATGAATTTAGAGATCATCCAAGGGGAAAACAAAATATATACCAATAACTATGAAGGGATGTGCAGGTGGCCCACCCTTGATAGAAACTAATTCATATAAATTTAAAACTGCATAATTTCACTTGCTTGGGATCAGAGGCCAACTGCAAAAGTGACATTAGCACCGAGTTAAAAACATGTCCTTTCTACAAGTAGACGTTTTATGGACTTATGAAACATCAGAAGTCACAACTGATCTCAAGGGAAACTAAACTGCTGCTGTACAAGACACTTATAAGACCAGTATCAACATACGCAGTACACCTCAGAGACCTGGGTGCTATCCAAGCCAGATGAAAGATCATTAGTTCTATTTGGAAGAAGAGTTCTCAGATGCAATTTTGGAGCACTACAGGATGAGGGTACATGGAGCAAGGGCCATAACCATGAATTGTATAAGCTATTTAATGTGCCAGATATTACTAAATATATAAACAGATTAAGCTGAGCTGAACATATTGTAGGTATGGAAAATAGTAGGTCAGTCAAGAAGGTGTTTGGAAATCGGAAGGCACAAACCGAGATGGGAGGTTGATATGATCCAGGATACCGGGCCCTGGGAGTGAAGAGTCTGAGGAATGCGGCTATGAACGGAGAAGACTGGTTGAAGCTTCTGAAGAGGTCAAAGTCCACACAGGACTGTCGAGCCAATGATGAATGAATGAATGAACCTTTGTGTTCCACAAGTGTCGAAGAATTCTTTAGTAANCTTATACACGGTGCCAAATCCCAGAAGACTGCTTTCTGTATGGGGTTAGTTAGTGAATATGCCATGCAAACGCTTCCCGTTCTTTGTAATCAGAGAGCCTAGCCGCAGGGAAGAAACCGATGCGAACAAGGCCGCTCCTATTTTCTCGGGTGTCTGTCCTGTTCTTTTTGTAATTCCAGTAATTCGATAATACTATCGACGCGTAGAACTTATGCCCTTACGAAACCTTGTTAGACACATACGGGTATATCTCTGTTATGTTGTTTATCGTCTGAAAGCTCTCGGACCATATGGGAGCAATCGCTATCAGAAGTGATCACCCCAGATCGATATGACGGATTGCACCATTAATGTTATTGGCACAACGCAAGGTGTAAATATTTGATCTGAGATTCTCACAGCGGTGAAAAGTGCTATCTTTTGGGATATGACCTCATGCAGTCTGATTCAATTTAATCGACGTTTCGAAGAAACTTGCTGTCCCCATGCCTTAGGCCCTGTCTGTTTCTTGGAACGTTATTTAAAAGCACTGTGTTAATTGCAAAGGTTGTGAGAAAGGCAACGATCTCAACAGTTGTGATCAGGTAAAATAATAATTTTCTGTGTTGTGTTTTGCACCGTTGTAATCCATAGCGTTGTTTGTTATATCAGTAGAGTCAATTACATGTTCTTGAAATTAGTTTAAATTGTCCCCACAAGTACCCCTGAGGCAGATACTCGTATTTTTGCGTAAATGTAAATGCCGAAATGTGTCGTGAGAGTGATTAATTCAAACAGACGTCAAGAACTTGTGTAATAATTTGATGCATGTGATAATAAGATTTTTTTTCTTTTCTTTTGACGCTACGGCCCCAGTTTCGGCCTTGGCCTACCTCCATGAAACTCTCCGTTTCACTTCAGTTTACTAGATCTTAGACATTCGGTAGGACTTCTTCGGCGGGTGATCAGCTCGTCGCAAGGCCTCTACCCGTGCACAAACACAGAAAAACGCACATAAACAAACACCAAACATCCATGTCCTGAGTGGGATTCGAACCCACGATCCCGGCTTCCTAGTGAGCGAAGACAATACATGCTAGACCGCTCGGCTACCGTGACCGGCAATAAAATAATGTAACTTGAGTAAAATCCAAACTGAGGGAACGGTGGGAGGCATCACAATAGCACTTAACCCAGTTGAGGTTGAACTGGCTTCCTTTAGAATATAAGTGAAGAACGTGAATGTTCTGGGCCTTGAGTAGACCTGGATGAAGTTGTTACAAATATCAGTGGGGCATTTTCAGTAAATCATTCATTATTTTCTTTTCTCCTTCGGTCATAAATATAACTGTTTATGCCGTCTTGCCTCTTCCGGTCAAAATTTGTTCTGAAATAATGTATCAGCATGTGTGCGACAAGCCCTTAGAAGGGAGATCAGCCTTTACCTTTAGAGGACAACACTAGACACAAAACCCCGACAAATACACGTCTTAAGTGTGATAGAATTGGAACTCACGTTTTCAAGCGGTCAAAGCCAGTACGTGCTTTTGATAACGCGGCCAATGTAGGTGGCTCTTCCTTCTCAGCATCTAATGTTATTCTACGCTGGTCATTAAACAACAGAATAAATTCACCAAGAGACTAAATGCATGATTCTCCTCTGCTCAGATATTGTCATTCTAGGATATGAAGCAGTGTGCCGTTGTAAGTAAGTACCAAAATTTCGGAGGCACCTGCTGCTTCTACCTTCCGTGTGAGCAACCAACTAAACTTTGGTATCTATCCACCGAAGTACAAAGCATCACATCGCAGGAGACCACCATCTGAATACTCGTCGCTGTTCAGAACTCACATTCATCTGCTCTTAGATGGTTTGTTAGGTCCACAGGCTCTCCATCTAGCGAATTAGAGGTACTGTCATACGTTAGTGATTAGACACGGGGTTTGCATTGATGACAGGATTTACTGAATGCTTAGAACTCGTAAGCACTCACGAATTTACATTCGCTACAAATCACAGCACACGTCGACTCTTCTTACTCTCTTATGTCCTCACTAGTCGTTGCTAGGTAGCGGCTTCTAACAATGGAGATTCCTCTACTCACGGCTAACAACTAGCTACGACACACGACTACCCACCGTTGTGTAACAGTGGCCCGCATGTTTATCGGCCGTTGCTTAGCAACGACCGCATTTTCTCGCTCTGTATTCCGGCTTTCAGCCGTTATGTCACAATATGTAAACTGCAAAGCAGTACAAATTTAAGTAGGCTACAGCGCCTGCTACATATATCGATTGCTGAAGCTCAGAAGTTTAATCTGTGGAAAGAAATTATTACGGCTTGCTGTCACTTACCCTGAGGATACGATAGGGACTGTCGGTAAGGAGACACACGTCGCCGTTGATCTTCTTGAGGTCCAACTTGGTGTTTGGCAGTACACTGAGTGGAGTTCCCTGCTGCAAAGCCTGTCGGTGGGCATTGGGCGCCGTGTTCAGGCGGTCGCATAGGCTATGGATTGTGACGATGGGTGTGGGCAGCATGGTCTGGAGTTCCGAGCCTCCGTCCGCACAGGATCTGTCCATCTCGCTGTCTGCTACCTTCGGTTTCCGCACATGCTGATACTGCCGCCTCTTTCGAACCAGCTCCCACATCCGGCCCTGAAACGTGTAAAACTGATTCATGAGTCTTACGCCAACTTCAAGTTAACAGGGGCCATGAATGTTCATCACAACAGTCACCCGAATTTGGAAGGGTTTCTGCTGTATGTTACTTTCCATGCACTTACGGCTGTGAATCCTCCGTTTCCAAGCACCAACTTAGGAAATAAGGAAACAGGAAACAAGGGTCATTTTCCTGCAAATGTGTCCCATTTCTCCGGATCAAGACTCCTTTCTTTACCCTCTCTTGGGACTTGTGGCCAACTTCCTTAAAATTTGCCTATATAACCTAACCAATTCCTTGACCTACACAAGTCAGCCATAATGTTGGAGTTAGTAATGGTAAAAGTAAAGTTGTCCCTGTACTTAACCAATTAAGCACTACGCCGTGAATGCGTATAAGGGAGCGGATGTATAAATCCTTAATTTCTTGACCTCGGCACTAGCTGGAGGTGAGTGGTCAGCTTCACGCCCCGGCCGCTTTACCCCCTAGGAAATAGCCCCCGGTACCCATCGTATAGGAGGTTGGGTGGACACCAGAGCCGGTTTGGACGATGTGGAGAAAATTGTTGACCCTACCGGGACTCGAACTCCGACTCCTCGGTCGTCCATCCAGTAGTCAGTCGCTATACCGACTGCGCTAACCCGGATCGAGTTAGAGTTAATATGTTCCTCTAAACCTTCGGTATCGGCTTACAAAACTACACGATGTCACAATCCATAAGACCACAGTCTGAACAATCACATATGCCAAAACCTAAAAAACTTTAGTATTGTTCACATAAACCGAAAATAAGTATCTTACATAATGTCGAGTCGACAGTCAATCAGTAATCAGAACTGGGGAAGGTCAGCCGAACTTTGCCCCCCGGATTTAGGTCTGATTGGGTCTTAGCTGTGTAGTCTTCGGACTTTCACGCCTCATATTTACGATGGCTGATGATGTGATTCAAATATTTTGTGTAACCTCATGGAGTAGAGCCCATAACATTCACTCGGTTGGACAAGAAATTTCCCCAAATTTATTGTAAATAGAATGTTTATTATCTCATTCAGAAGACTGAATCCTATCGTAAGCCAGATGAAACCAGTCAGCATCGCTCACCCCATTTATTTAAGATACATTTTAATATTATCCTCTCCGCTAAATCTATTTCTGGCAAGTGATCACTTTCCTCTAGGCTGTCGGACAAAATCTGTGATTCATTTTTCATCTCTCCCATGCGTGCTACATGGCTCCCCACCTTACTATCCCTAATTTGTTCATCCTAGTGATATTTTCTGAAGAACTCGAACTACGAAGGTCATCATTGTATAACTTCCTCTCTCTTAAATTCTATTGCAAATAATATTCAAATTAAAAAATGCATATGTAACATAAAGTTAAACATTTAATTGAGTTTTCTAGTTTCCATTTGGACAGTTTTCGGAATATTTAACGAAATACGAGGAAGAAGTACAGAAGCTTTATAAGTAACAAGTATCCAACTACTGAATTAGTGATGCGATTTCACTATTCGCAAATTACATTTTATTTGCAACATACTCAGTCTCTTCACGGGCTCTTAATTTCTCAACTGCATCTGCAATGGCAGCTTTCAGCTCCATCTTTTAAGTAAAGTAAGAAGAATATTGCCTTCCGGGATGTGACACCAGGAAGTCTGGTAGATGTTTACTGACGTTTCGGAGGAACTCTGTTGCATTATGATGCAGAAGATAATATTCTTCACAGTCACTTCCCTGAGAAACTTAAAGCTGAAACAGGTTACGTGTATCAGAACGCCTGCAACTGTATGTCTAGACTGCACTGTCTCACAAACATGCAAGATAGGTTGCCACATCTGCACGGCGTTGTAAACAAATTCCAAGGAACATTCATTTTGGAAGCCTCCGGACTCGAACGCGTTAAGTCACGTACAATAGGTGGCAGTGAGAGTGTAGTTTCTATTTGGGAGCTTTTGTGAAATCTTTAAGGCAGGATTTCGTAGGTTCTGCCTTTTTCAAGTGAAAAGCGAGCGAGCATCCCAATATTCTAGGGCGTAATCTGTTATTCTGTTTACAAGACAAAGCAATTGTAAATAATAACTGATAATTCAGTTTTATTTTGTGCATAATTATTTGATGGGCTGTCAGTACAGAGACTGCAGAGCGTCGGATGATGGGAGAGTTTATGAATGTTGAATTGGAAAGGACAATCAAAAGAAAACTGTTGTGTTCTAATCGAGGTACCATACCTCCATTTGCCGGGAGGGATTGAAGAGAACCATGAAAATTGAGTTACTTCTTTATTACGGATAATAAGTATGGACCAGGATGAAGTTTCTCGAAATATGACAGCACATGTGTGAGTGGCCACTAAAATGCAGTGAATGTGCGTATCTGAAAATGTCTTGTCACAGGGTACGGTTTGCCTTCATAAGGAAGAAAAGCGCAGTGTGGAGTCATGCATTCACGACAACCCTCTCCATTCTGCATCTCATTTCTGGAGCAGCATAGTTACTATACTGTCATGTGTAAGGGGGGGGGGGTTTACGCGTGACGAAAATAACGGGTTCTAGTTGAGATGAATGGATTTATTGGTGTTCTTTGACAATTACACTCAATTCTGACAGCTTATAATCACTGACTGTCTACGAATCGCTCCATTCCTTACTGGACCACGATCATCTTCCACTATGACGAACGAAGAATTCCTGCTCACACCTTGGACTGCCTTGAACGATGTCTGTCTCTTGAAAGCACACTAATTGTAATTCTGAGTCTTATATTACGATCGACGGTCAGTCGCCCAGTTTGTCTTGGAATAAAGCACCCATCTCGGGCTTACGACCAGACTTTTATTACTGTCAGACAGTTGCGGGTTTGTTGATATGGGGCGCTCTCTCTCTCTCTCTCTCACGAGAGGACGGGTCCATTCCGTACAATTGCTGCTGGCCCTCGCCAGCGCATTCATTCTCGTGTCCGAGTCCTGTGGGACTCGCGACCATATTTTACTGCCTCAGATTTGAGACTTCCCTTTTGTCGCCTCCTACGACTCTCAAGGCTACGGTGGAGGTATTCGACCCCTCCTCCACACGGGATACACTAATTCACTTCTGACTTCATAGCTTCGGGAGAGCCGAGTATAAATCACCGTCTTCCGGGATTTCAGTACTCTAGGACTTCGTTACCATGGAAATGCCTTTGTCACAACTGAGTTGTAGCGAAAACGCGATTATTAAAATGTTCGATACCAAGCAAACGACGTTCTATAATTGACTGTGTCAGGAATGTATTTACCTAGCAACGGCTCCCTTTGTTGGCTGCGTAACCTAGAAAATGTGTTTGCCTAGCCTTTGCCTAGGTATACACGTTACAGTATCCTTCAAATGTTTGATATCTTGATATCTCACCGATATATGCCTACACTTAAAAGGGATAATATTTTTCGTTATCGCATAGCGAAAGGACATAGGGGAACACATAACACGTGTACTGCATATCATATCACATGATACTGTTCTTACAGCGTTAGAAAACCCTAAAGAACGACCCGAAGCGTCCTTCATTGTGATGGCTTTTATCTTGCGCGTCCCCTGTCTTATTTTATGTTGTTAAATAATATACTGGAACAACGAAGTGTTTGAGCTGATTTACGTTCGGTTTGAGCCATAATGTAGGGCAAGACCCTCATGTATGGAGATACAGAATCTCTAGAAGCATATGTGGATGCTTTTTGTACGCCCAAATGGAGTACAATTTTTCCGCCCCTACCTTGTATTTGTCTTCCTAGAAACCTGTAGACCCACAGGAAAACACGTGTCATGTATTCATTCCGGATGTCAGGGTAAAGGCAACCAATTAACTGGAGAGGGGAGTAGCTCGAATTGTCTTCATATATCTCTCTATGGCTCTGCAGTCCTTTTGTTGGACCTTGGCGGTTTTTTCAGTTTCTTAATCCTATACACACTCGGTAGGACTCCTTGGACGGGGGATCAGTCCGTCGCAAGGCCGCTACCTACACACATAACAACACAAAATAAATATACACAGACATCCATTCCTTGAGTGGGATTCGAACCCATGATCCCAGCGTTCAAGCGAGCGAAGACAGTTCATGCCTCAGAACGCGCGGCCATTCTGATCGGCAAACTGCCTTCATATCCTATATGAAATTGACGCATCGTTAAAATTATTAGCGTCACCAACATTTGGACCTTGACATTTATCAATGAACTCCTCGAAGGTATATCTGTGGACAATGCACTCAGACACACAGAGTTTACTAGCTTCATAATCTGTGCAGAGAATTATCAAAGATAAGCTATATGTACATAAATCTTCCCTTATTATCATACAGAATACTACAATGGTTCGGTTTTATCGTTGAACACAAAAAATCACTCTGCTTCTACGCGAACACTGATATGACCACATGTTATATATGTTTTGTTTCCTAAATGAAGACATGGTTGTGGGAATGAAAGCAGTGTCAGTCCTTTAATTCTGAAATATTATTTTACACGATAAATATATAATTAATGTAAGAATATTTTACAGGATTGTCACTTATGCTGCCAGGTTCAAACAGTTACTACAAAAGTTAACTCAAATGGGGCCGAAAGACTGTCAATGTTCTATCGAGATGTATTATGATTATTATTGTCCATTTTGTACAAAGAACCCGTCACATGCTGTCAACAGGAAATCAGTGAATTGGCTAGCTCTGGAAACGATCCTGATATAATTCCATCCATCTCCCATCTTCACATCATGTGAATGTTTTATGAGAAGCGTCTTAATGTTAAACTTCTTAATATCGGTCTTCAACACGGTCTCTCAGTCAAAATACTATACTATAATTGTATAATACTATAATTGTGCGGATAGGTTCATTTTTAGTTCATACAGTAATCCTTTGTGCCATACTTTGTCAAAAGCCTGCTGAACGTNAGACCATAAGCACATTTTTTTTTTAAATTTGCCATCTACTCAACACACATAAATAGAGTAATTAGTAA